GGATGAAAGGGAGCACCTACAGTTAGTCTCAGTAAAAGCTGTTCCAGTAGCACTCCCTATTAGAGCAACGTGACTAAACACCCAAAAACAGTCCCGACTGTATTGTGTATTACATGAAGTTATTGACAGCAACAGTGTCAGAGCTAAGCAGAGTGCCAGGCCAAATGAAGAGGAAAAAAATTCAAAAGCAAAAACATCATAAAGTTAAAGGTTAAAAAAAATGCAAAACTAGAATATAGAAATACAATACACCAGATTGAGGAAAAGTGGTCTTCACATCCTCCAGCATCCTTTGGCAACATTACAGTAGCTCATGATAACCTAAGTCACTCTACCTATAAGTTTTATCGTTTTAGGCCTAGTCTTAAAGAGAGAAGCCTAAATAGAGGAGCCTTTTAAATTAAACATCATCTTTCTAATACAGAGATCCAAAGATGATAGATTCTGTTTTGTGTGCCTTTAAAAAGCAGAAAATATACAGTCATCCAGTTTTTTTCAGTATTTCTTAAAGGCATGACTGCTGGAACAGTTTAGATTCATTGGGATCCATTAAGGGATCATACCAGATATATACACTATCAGCCCTGAGGTCGAATAGGAGAAGTTTAGTCTCAGCTCCATTATTAGAGGCCATGATCATATGATTGATGACTTTCACAAGTGCTAATTCAGAGCTCTGATCAGCTCTAAAACCTAACTGAAACTTATTAACACTATCACACTTGATCATAAACAATTTTCTCATTAATTTTAGATGAGACAAAGACATTATATATACGTATAATTTATTGAACCATTTAGATCAAAGTAACATTTCTTCAGTGAAGGCTTAATTTTCTTAAAAGTGAGGGGTACATCTCTATGTTGGGGATATCTTTATCATATAAAATGGGGGAAGGAAATCAGAAAACTACACAGCTCAGTCCAAACATAATTCAGGTTCTGCAGATTCTGCGGAAATTGGCTTTACGGTGTCCCCACAAGGTAACAAATACTCTGCCGCGCTTCTATACACAAACATCTGTTAGCACAAAATGACTGACTGATTTTATCCGGATTCTCAGTGGGGGACCTGTGTGGTGTGAGTCAATTAATTGCACTAATGGAAGTTATCCATGTCTGGCTCCCAACGGCCACAGCTTAGAAGCCCTGCATTACTCTCAATACGCATGGGAGATACTATATTAGCAACCACGGTAACAGTCCTCCGCATATTCGCACTCAGTCAGTTTCTTATTTTTATTCCTATGAATCTCATCTTTAATTTAGTTGTCTCAATTTCTTTCTCTAATCATTTAACATTCGCTTCTATCGTGTTGTGGCATCCTAATGCAGAGGGAGAACTACTTAATTATTGTTTTATATCCCAACGCTGCAAATAAATACTATTATACCCGGAAGATGGAACAATTTCAGATACTTCACAGTAAATCCCAAAATACAATTTGAAGATATAAGAAAATCTTTTACAAGCTTCTCTAATCACTATTTTCTCCTCTGTTCTTCTAGTACTTACTTGTACTAGTAAGTACTAGTACTAGTTTTTTTTCTTTATTGTTTGTAAAATGATTAAGAATAGAAATTAAGATTTGATAAGTGTGATATTGTTGTGTTTAAAGCAGCGTTAAACAAACTTCAAAAAAGGATACTTCTTTTTGTTCTTTCTCAAACAAAATTTCAGAATGTGCAATATATTTTCTGACAAACACTCTGTCAAAGTATTAGGCTTAAATTTACTGCCTTTGACCTAAGGGATTTCCAAACTGCATCCTCATTTTTTCTTACAAAATGTGAAAAAATGTTTTTTTTTACATGACAAAAAGTTTGGTTTGCACATCTCAGAACCCTTTGATGACGAATCGCTTTAAGTTTTGGTTTTGACGCCCCCTTTTTTGTTGAACTCAATGCATTTTTAATGTAAAGAACAGGAAAATCCTGGCCGGGGCCTAAGTGGCAGTAATGTGAGACATTCCCCTCATTGGTTAGTGGTGACTGTAGCCACAGATGGCAGCTCAATTATTTATTGTGCCAAGGGACATATCAGGAGAGGGCAAGTTAATTTACAGAGTTGAATCACTTTGAACATTTAGAAATGCTATCAAAAACAGTTTTCTAAAGTAGTTTTAGAAAATAGGTAAATGAATATTGTTTTCAACTTTAAAAAATGTTTTGCAAACAAAACTGGCTTTTTAAAACAAATCATTTGTTGCAGTTAAATTTTTTTTGTTTGAAAATATTTTTTTTGATTAAATTATTCTGTCAATAAAACAGGGTAAAAACAAATTTCACAGTTAAGTTTATTGGGATTTTGTAATCAAATGACAACAAACAAAGGTCTACATAATTACATAAAGGCAAATGATACCCAGCTATAATACCTATATGTTGCTATCATAATGTTAGATTTATTATAAAAAAAACATTTTTCCAAAAAAAGAGCCAACTTTTAATGTTATGATATTTTTTAATAAAAAAAAAAGTAAAGAAGAAGAAAATAAAGACTTTTCCTGCTGCACAGAAGCAGTGTCAAATTTGATGGGTATTTCCTGCAGAGTTTGCAGTTAAACAGACTAGACCAGACCTAAATCCAGTGTAAATTGAGGGTCAGGGCAATATCTTTGCCAAATTTAAATTCATTAATTTGTTTTTCTACTATTCTTCTTGGCACATGAAACCATGGTAAATCAAATTGGATGTGAGCCTCACTTTTCTAAAAGTTGATTGGTCATGCAGAGTCAGTATAAAGAACCAATGGAATAGAGTTAAGGCCAGAGCTAAGGAAGAGAGAATAATTAGCACTGAAGCTGTACAGAGAAAAAGATAAACAAAGAAATGTTAATGTTCTAGAATGAACTAAACATTATAAAATCATATAATAAACTAAAATTGCACTTAACACTTAAATCACATACCCAGGAGAGAAATGGAGACAACCAAGACCTCAAAGAAACTGAAGAGCCTTATATTACCATGGTACCATGGTAAATTGCTCTAAACGGCAAACCTGCTCCAGGTCAGTCTGGCTTTCAGGATTGATCTGGATCCTATAAAACAGGCATCCCCAACCTCGGTCCTCGAGGCCTGCTGTCCTGCAGGTTTTAGAGGTTTCCCTGCTTTAGCACAGCTGATTATAATGATTGCAGTAGACCAAAAGCCTGTTAATCAGCTTTCAATTAAAATCAGCTGTGCTGGAGCAAGGAAACCTCTAAAACCTGCAGGACAGCGGGCCTTGAGGACCGAGGTTGGGGATGCCTGCTATAAAAAGTTCTACCCAGCAGCCATTCAGCTGTTCAGGTAATTTCATTCAGAGGGCAAATTGTTTGAAAAACATTGAGACGGTAACGTATCTTCCAGGACTGATTTAATCCTTTGGATCATGATGATAGTTAAACTAGTAGCCATTCAAAATTTCCCCATTTTCCTTGATGGGTCATTGGCTGGTCCCCTACAATTCCCTTTTAAACATTAATATTTGTACTAAAATACTCTTTCTGTCATGATATGTGGACATTAAGATCTAAAGAGAGGTGTCATCCCTTGGTCAGACCCTGTTATTTAGTAAAAGAGTAGAGTCAGAGTTAAAAAACATTCATGCATAGGAGAAAGAGGGAGTCACTGCAGTGGCTGCCATTCGGTTGGTGTTTGACTGGGAAGGGCCATTTTGAGTGGCTGCTACTGTACTGTACTGTACATACGAACAACACAATTTTTCACTGGTATATATATGTCAAATCCTGGAACCACACTGTATCAAAGAGTAACTGTATGCATAGCTATGTGATATTACGCATAGCCATTACCCATTATTGCTTCATTATAGCTTTATGTACCCTGCCAAGTTAAGAAAAAAAAAAAAAACACTAGGAAAAAACTGTATTGTTCATGTCAAATGTAATATTGATCATTCCTTTCTGTCAGGTAGACTTGAAAGTCTGTAGAGTGAAAAACAAAAATTCTAGTCGTCACAAGACGTTTTACTATAGTAAGAAAGACGTTAAGGTATTTCTGTACATTTAGGGCTGCATGGTGTTTAAGGGGTTACACTTTTTAAAAGAAAAAGAGTAGATTTTGTCATTTGTCCCTGCTGAGTTCTGACATATCTTAAAAAGCTGGATTTCACTCAGTATAAACACTTCTGGTATAATTAAGATACAACTGTGGTATCATCTTCCAGCTTTATTGTAGCCATACGTTATATCATTAAGAGGTCCAACTAGATGGAATTAAGATGAAATTATGTTTTTGTGTTTTATGTTATTTTTCTCTGTTCCCAAGTCCTGTTCACTCCCGAGGAAGCAGTACAGTCTTTGGTATGCATGGCTATGTTAAATGACACTGATCTGTAACTTGCACATTTACTTTAAGTCAGCAATCCTTTGTAATGCCTTTTGGCTTCTCTTTGATGCCACCACAATAATTTACTTTTCACTGAGACTTTTTTTCTCTTCTTTGTGTTTCTGTACAGCGTTGTCCGTTTTGTGTTCAGGATTGTGATTGGTGTGCTACCTTAGACCTCCCCGTTTATACGTACATGTTCACTGATTCATGACCCGTTATTGCTGGTTTTAGTTAGTGAGTTGATAAGCCGCTTTTGCAATTATTGTGAAATGGTTAAACTGGATATGCTGGGAATATTCCCTGATTGGTTGTGCTTGCTTTGTGGAACAGGCCTCTGAACTTCCTGACAATTGATATGTTGTTTTAAAATGTCCACAAAATGTTCTATCTGTGTGATGGCATCAATTTTCTCAAAGGTCTCACATACACCTCTGATATAATGCAGTAAAGTTTCATAAAAAGGCCGCTCTGTTAGTTTTTTTTTTTTTTTTTCAGGAAGGGAAAAAGTTTTGTTTATCACTACTTAAACATTCTTACAAATTTAGATACATTTACCAACTTTGAGCACTTTTTTTACAGGTTCATTTGCCTGTTGAGAAAACTGCTTTTAGCATGTTGAAACAGTTTTTTTCATAAGAGTTTCTGTCTGTATCCCTCTACAGGTATGCGTATCCTGGTGAACCTGCTGCTCGACACTCTGCCCATGCTTGGCAATGTGCTCCTCCTCTGCTTTTTTGTTTTCTTCATATTTGGCATCATTGGAGTACAGCTGTGGGCGGGGCTGCTCAGGAACCGTTGCTACCCTGAAGAGAATTTCACACTGTGAGTGCCCGTCTGGTCTTTGTGTTAGTTTGTGAAACAAGGTGTTAAAAAATGTGATGCTCCAGAATGCAGGACATGTTAATCGGTGTGTGTTTCAAATGATGTGGTCATGCTTGTGTAAACATATCTTTATGAAAGTGAGTATAGTAACATGCCCTAATTCCATTTTGTAAAAAATGAGTTACTTTAGGAGAGACCCTGGAGCCACACAATATGCCTTTACATACTGTATCTGTGCCAGTGTGGTTTTCTGTGAAATTTTTTCTCAGCTCCTCTCATCACCTGACTGGTGAGAAGAATAATTACATCATCTACTCAATTTACTGATATTGCCATAGAAAAAGAGATGAAGGCTCCCTCAGGCTCTCAGTCTGAAGTCCTAACATAATGAGGCTGACCTCATTGTGCAAAGCAACATGTGCACAAAGCAAATATCATTATCTCATAATCAAGTCTGGCACTTAATTAAAAGCTGAAACTTGGTGAGTTTTTTAACATCATCTTTAACCTCCTCTTGCAGTGTCAAATGAGAGGTTATTATTAGTCCAGTGGACATGTATTAAACTATGGGGGAGACGTTCTAATTCATGTTTGAGTCAATCAAACAATAAAATAGGAATAAAAGATTTTAGGATATATTGTGGTTCAGGTTTAGCATTGTTTCCTTGCGGTAGGCAGTCCTGGGTTGAATTCAACCTTTTTATCAAATGTTTAGCCTAAAGGGTAGTACTTAACTTTTATAACTTAATAAAAAGTAAAAAAAAAAAAAATGTTTTTAAGCCAACAATAATCAATGGAAAATGTGTTATTTTTTTTCCTACTAACATATTTTGTAAAGTTGTTATCATTATTATAATTCTTCATGCCAGTTATTTAACACTTCAGCCCTGAAACAGATATATAGCTCTTTTAAACATGTGGCTTGTTTGTCAGATTTAAAACATGGACCCACTGTTAACTTCATTCTAAAGTCATATAGTTTTTTTCTTAACTTTCACTGGGAAAAATCAATATCTAGATAAGTCATTTTTTCCTTAAAATAAGTGTGTTTTTTCTTGAATTGAGGAGGTAAGTGAGACACTTTGCCAATGGAACGAGACAATTTACATTTAAAATAAGAAAAAAACGATTTCATTGTCTCATTTCAAGTGTATATTATCTAATTACCTTATTTTAAGAGTAAAAATTCTCATTCCATTGGCAAATCATCTTATCAACCTACTCAAAACAAGGATAAATACACTTAATGTAAGACATTTTGACTTATTTCTAGATCGTTTTTGCAGTGTATAAATTTTATTACTTTACGACTCAGAAACTCCATTGATTGTAGGATTGACAAGTCTCTCCTTTGTCATCTTAAACTTGATCAAAATTCAGCTGTCAATTTGCTAATTGAGAAAAGATAAAATCAACCTATGGTCTCCTTGGCATGTGCTCTAAGATGTTCCCAGGACTTGCTCATGATGGGAGACTGAACTTTTTCAGCCGCAGTTCTTAGACTCAGGAACATTCTTCCTCCTTCTCTAAGTTTTGTTAGAACCTAAAATGATTTAAACCAAACCTTTTAGAAAAGGTTTGATCAAGTGACACAGCTCAAACAGGGAACAAATGACAATATTAGGCATGAGAATAACTGAACCTTGTATTATTAACCAGTGGGTTAAATAAACTTTAAACAGAAGTTTTTTCTGTCAGCTTGCTTATATTTAAGATGCAGGCAGATAGAGTATGTTCTGATATTCACCTATGTCAGACGGATTTCTGACATTCCTACAGAGGTCCTTTTTACAAAGCAAATGTAATTGAAAACTAAGTTTGTTAGCCATGAAATCCGGGAAACTAGGTTAAGTTTATGAGCGCAGTCAGCAGTATCTAAAGAGGCGATATTTTTTTAGACACAGAACAAGTTCCACTTTTACAATACCAATCTGAATCTGAAAGGTACGGCTATAGTTGTATGTCTTAATTTTCTATGATGGAGTTAAAATAGACATAACAGTGTTTTATTTTAGACTAACTCAGTTTTACCTAGCAAGTGTTGGCTTAAACAAAGAGGCTATTTGATTTGACTGTAAATGTGAAAAAAGTATAAACTCTAATATATTATTTATCCACCTTTTGTTCAGGAATAAAAACAATTGCTTACATCTTACCTGTCAACATTTGAAGAAATTCTGAATTAGAAGCTGGAATACTGAACAGGTGTTGTTTGTTTCCAAAAAGTCTATTAGGAGTACAGCTAATACAACTGTAATGGAAGTGTGTTAGTGCCTGGGGAGACTAAATTCTTAGCCAAGCGTTTGATTAGGCTGGTTTAGCAGCACAGAGCAATGGGATACAAAGCAGTTTGCATCACCAAGCCTAGTGAGAAAATAATGATCTGGTAAAAAGCTTTAGGGTAGGTCATCACCATAGTAACTCTGTCATAAATGAGATGGTGAGACAAAAATAGACTGCAATTATGGGGTGTCCTACCCCTAAAAATAATTGATGTCATCCAAAGATAGTAAAGATGTTTTTTTGTTGTTGTTATTGTTTATGTTGTTTCCTTCCATGACGAATTCTAAAACTGAATCTGACCACAGTTCTCAGAACCAAAAATGCGAGCTATAATAACTCAAAATTTTAAATGTTTATTCAGCTATCCATCATAATTCTACTGGAACAAAAAGATACAAATCTTAACTGCTGCACTTAGTGATCTTCATATACAAAGACATTTCCTGAGTCAGTTTAATAATGAGATAAGTCAGTGAGGCTGAATGTGGGTCGTATCACATACAGAAGTGGTACAGTAGACATGATGGATGGTTTACCTAATTTACTTCTGGTGTTCACTTGCTGTTTCCAGAGCTGTGACAAAAATACAAAAAGCAGAAGCCACAGGTGGTCCACAGGAAATCATATCTATAAAATCAGTTCCGTTGATGCAGACTCACAGCTGCAAAGCTAATACTTTCTTAATGCATGCATAAAATGCTAAGTGCATTGTGGAAGCATACTGTATGTAAATTGTTAGAGAAATCATTTTCTTTGAACTGAGCATTCTAAGTAGTTGTCTGAGAAAAGTGAAATAATATGATGGCTGTTTGAAAATCTTATGACAGTATGGACATTTAATAAAAGTCCAGATAAAGATAGTTTAGTAGCCAATATTTTTATTTTTTATTTTTTTTTAGGAATATTGAATGCAATTTGCCATTTTTTAAAGGGGAGCTAAACCCCAAAAAACATAATAATTGTGAGCATTCCAAGCATGGGTCGATAGTATCTTGCAGGTGAGCAAGATTATTACATATTATTAAGCATAGCATTTTAAGTTAAGTACTGTCCTTAGATCATGGCTTGGCAATTATAGCTCATAGGGCCAGTAACCTGTAGCTTCTAGAGTCACTGGTCCAACACTCCATGATCAAGTAATAAAATTATAAAATGATTCAGCCATTTGAATTAGGTCTGTTGTACCAAGGATGAATCTTAAAGGTGCAAGATATTGGCCCTCAAGTACTATAGTTGCCCATCTCTGGGCAACTATAGGTCTTTGGTATGTCTTTCATCCATCTGGCTATTTAGTTAGTTTACTATAACAGCTTTTGTAAGACATTTATTGTTTTTTTTTGTGTTGGGTCTTATTTTGTTTTCACTGTGGTGCTTGTCTTCTAATACCTAGCTATTTTGCTTGAAAGAACAAAACTTCAGCTAGAGTTCTTGGAAATGTGCCATGTAAAT